TAATAAATAGATAAACAGCCCCTGGTAGAAAAAATAAATAAACAAATAAATCTGAACATGTTATTTGTGATTATAAGCTCACTATGAATTGCGTCTGAAAGAGACAACAACAAAAACAGGAAGAAAAAAGAATTGTAAATTTAGAGAAAGAAAGACAGAAACATGTGACATCACTCCAGTAAACACAAAAGTAGCTCGCCATCCTCATCATCCAGTAACCTGTCAGAAGCACTAGACTGGCCACTAAAAACTGATATGGAGTAACATCACCAAACAACACCATGCCACAAGTAAACACCCCCCCCCCCCCCATCCCCACCCCATACCCCTAGACACACCCAGATAAACACTAAAAAGTCATGACATCCAACAGAGTTAATGCCCTTACATCCTCCCTCCACTATGACACTACCTCGACCTCTGACCCACAAGCTGACATGACATTTAATCAATGCTGGATCCAGGTACCTCCACCTGGAAAGAAGTGACATGCTCAAGTCAATGAGAGTGTCATCCATCGATCGCCATCTCACAAGATGGAAGTCAGTGCCTCTAGGCTGTCATGCATTTTTTAATGAGGCAGTTGCAGAATGCACAAATCTTTGTGCTACTGACAGACTCTAATGTTAACACTGACAGCAACAATGGTTATAACAGGAGGGGGAGGGGGGCTGAGTGGTCACGAGGCATGGTGTCCGCTTCGAGTGCTGGAGGTCTTGGGTTCAGGCCCTGGTGACGGCTGGGATTTTTGGGTGTTGCTCTTTCTGGCTGTCTTACATTCACCGTCCCCATGTGGGATGAATTTTGTGTTATTTTGAAGAACAATCCTGGTTGTTGCCGGGGGCCGTAATATAACCTAACGGTTCAGCGGGGTTTCCGGGACCTCTCCATGGGTGATTCTCATATGATGGCACTTTGTCACCAGGTGTTGTCACTTGGTGTGGTGAAAAGTCAGTCAGTCAGTCTGGCTGTCCAAGGAATTCTAAGGATTATTCTGTAAAACCAAAGTCTTTATTTACCGTCTAGATTTACCCCTTTTCTGAGTGATGTAGGAAAGGGGGAGGAGGGGTCTCGAGTCTAGGGATTTAGGGTCATCATGGCTAGTGCAGTCATCATGAACTGTTCAAGTCAGGATTTAGATTTGTTGCCAGTGACAGAAAAAATCTCCATAATTTTACCCAGAGTTCAAACACAAACCTCTGCGCTCTCCCAAGATATGACATAAGCTGTGGCAATAACAGAAGTCCAAGGTGAGAGTGCAGGAATTTCAATGGGTTAAAGTGCAGGAATTTCAATAGGTAAAAGTCAAAGAGTTTAAATATGTAAAAGTGGAAGAATTTAAATTGGTGAAAGTGCACAAATTTAAACATAATTAGTGGTAATAGGTAACAGGAGAACTGGCTCATAAACAGCATTTTGTCCTGAAAGCGGGTGTATCTGGCCATGTTGAACGTCATGGTGGTCTGGACAAAATTGTGACCGAGGTAACGATTTCTAGATAGTGAAGGCGGATACAAAACATTGAAGATGCATTTGCTATAAAAGTACATAGGGCAGAATAACTGGCTAGAGACAGAGAGACTTTCAGGTGTGCCGTGATGAGAGCAATATAACGTTTTTTAAAAAAACCTACTGATTGATGATGATGATTACAAATAGTTGTAAATGTTAAATTGGCTGTTTTTACTGCCTCCATTTACCACTTTCTACAGTGGCACAGGTTAGAGAGGTCTTGAGCCTGAGGATTTAAGGTCCCACGGCCAGTGCGGCCATCATGGACTTTGCAGGTTAGGTTTTTTTGTATTTTAATTTTTGTCCACAAAAAGAAAATGTATCCCTTCATATACCAAGGATCTGAATAGGGATCTCCTGCATGATAGCACAGTTTTCCTCTTCGATGAATGTTTGCCTCAGTTATCTGAACTCAGGTGCTTGTTTAATACATTTGTATTCTACTGCTATATTTAACTTATGTTTCCTTCTTCCTATTCCTCTTTTTTCTTCTTCTTTGCGTTCACCAGCTGTAAATTCAGGTAACAAGTTCTGGTTGTTCATCCACTTTTGGACTGCAGTCCTGTTCCAGAACCTAAGTTTTTCTTACTAACATTGCTTCTGCGTTTTCAGTGTTGATTATCATATTATTTGTTTCACATTCTTCATTCATGGATGTTAGGTGCTGCAATGTCATTGCTATTTCTGCTATCAAGGCCCGATCAGCAGTAGAGAGTAGTTTATTAATGTTGCTTTCAATTTCATTACTAGGCTTGGCATCTTCGCTCATACTTTTGATGTAGATGATAAAAAAGTGATATGGGGCAAGCCTGTTTTACTTTGAAAATTACTAAGAATGATTCAGAAGTGGCCTGATTTATTTTAATTGCGCCTTTACAACCCCGGTATAAACTTTTGCACACTCCAATAAGCTGTTTGCTTACTCCCTACTAAGCCACTGCCTTCAACAACATTTCATTACTGACCCTGTCAAATGCCTTCTCCTATACTATAAATGCCAAAGTAGGTTATTATCATATTTGATGTTTTTTTCTATTAACTGTTTATGTGTGAAGACTGCATCTGTGCAGTTTCTATTTCTTCCAAAGCCTATATGTTCTTCTACCAACTGTTGTTATACTGGTATTAGCTTTGTTTCCATTATCGTGGCATAAATTCTCCCACCCTCAGTTAAGGTGCCTCCTGTCTTAGCATTAATTTTTTCTGCAGAGTTGCAGCTCTCATCTCTTTTTCACTTTCACTTTTTAAAAAAAATTTCTGCTGGCTGTTATCCCATTTTCTGCTAAAGAAATGTTTCCAGGATTATTGTTTTGCTTTCCTGATCTTTCAGTTTGTTTCTCTTCATTGCCATCTAAAGTTTATATAATCTTAGCTTTTCAATTTTATCCACTGTTTAAATGTTTTTTCCTTCTTCTTCTTGCGACCATTGTCTGAATTATAACCCCAAAAACGCAAAAACACATTTTTTTTTTTGGGGGGGGGGGGGGGGGGGGGGGGAGAGGCAATAAAACTAAATATTCTTTGGAGTTCCCTTTTAGAGCAGACAACTTTAGGTATGGTATTGACTCACTGGGCCAGTATTCCCTTCTTAATGGGTACCCCTTCAAAACTGCTTCTTTTACTTCTTCATGTCACCTAAGGGAGTATTTTTTATAATTCCGTCTGTTTTCACTCCTCTGATTTCCACATAATTCTTTTGTAAAACCAAGCAAAGTTGTTTTGGATTCACTCGATTCATCCTCAGTGTTGCCCACTACAGGTGATAGTTGTCTGAATGCTTTTCTCTACTTTCAGACTTGCTATCTTGGTTTTTCATTAATTCTTTGTAGACTATTCGCCAGTTAACTGGGCGTTTGAATTTATCCTAAACGGACTATTGACCAGTATAATAGCGTTTCATAGAGACATTCCAATTTTGTTCCATTTGCAAGGAAAAGTAATTTTTATGAAAATGTTTTAAAAAACTAGGATTAGCGACAGGAAGTCCTTTCGTTTTCTGAAGTCAGCGTGGTGTTTGTATCCCTTTCTGATTTTTAAAAAAACTGTTTGGATGTGAAACAATTTTTATGTAATTTTTCTAAATCAAATGATAAAGAAAAGGGTCTAGAACTTTACATACTGCTCTGTCATTGTTGAATCTCAGCCAGATATTGACAACAGTCTTGATATTATGACTGATAATGCATGTGCCAAACCTGTGTCGATGAATAGATTTCTGGATAAAGACTGAACAAAATATTTCAATCGGAACATCTGTTTCGATCAGGTGTTTTCCCAATTTTAGTTGTTGTGAAATTGATATGTCACACAAAAATGGTCATAACATCCTAAGTATTTAAATTAATTGTTTTCCATAAAGGCTAGATGATACATAACTGAATAGAGAAGGCATGTGCATTCTTAGAATTGGATAGCAGTGTTGTTGAACAAGTAAAAAACAATTTTTTGCATAAATAATCTTCATATGTGTCTCACATCCTTGAATGTTGCGTGATTTTAATAATAGTTTGTTGTATTATAATTAAGGTTGAATTAATTTTTGTTTGGATTACATCTTTATATTCAAAACAATGTATTTCCGTAATGAATTTCAATAATGCGGAAACAACCAATACATTGCACATTTATTGCCAGGCATATTTCGCTGTATCTCGTCAGGTGTGTTACTTAAGAGTTACATTAACATAAAATTAAGCACAAAAACGCATCGTGGAGTGTTTAGTCGCTGGAAGTTTACCGTAGTCACGTGACCACAAGAGTAACTTCAGATTTAGTATTAATTCAGTCTGCTTACAAAGGAGGGTGGTTGCTGATTTTAATTTGTAAAGCTTCTCAGCAGTCACCTGTTCAATGTGTGATAAACCACATGGAAAGCACTGTCTGTGTCAATTACGCGTCCGGAATTAAGCAGATGACGTCTTATGGAAGAAGTGGGTTCTTTCCTCTTGACTGGTTTCAACAACCTTGAAGACAGGTTATTGCACATTTTTATATTCAGTGATTAGGTAATTTTTAAACAAATGAAGTTAAACTTGTTTTTTCTTCATTTTTTTTTTGGGGGGGGGGAGGGGGGGGGGGGGGTCGAGTTTTGATAGGGATACTGAAAAAAAAAATGTCAAATGTTTCCATATTAAGATCATATTTTGTAATTTTTCAGCTCTTAAATGCTTTGATGTTTAAACTATTTAAAGTCTTTAATGTCTCGATATTTATATAATTTTTATATCGTGATTGAATGGATATCTGATTCTTATGTCTTTAATGCCTAGCCATTTATGCGATTCTCAGGCTTTAAATGCCTGGCTTCTGTATGATTCTTAGGTCCTAAAAACCTGGATATACTTCTGATTCTTAGGTCTTACATAAAAGGATATTTGTGTGATTTTAAGGTCTAAAATTCCTGGATATTTATAATATTTTAAGCTCTAACTGCAAACATAACACAGCAAGGTGCCGGAGCAACAGAATAGTGAACATGCAGTTCTCACCTGGGTATTTTAAATAAGGCTCTTCTAGGGTCCAGGTCACCCAGGGGAGGCTTCCCATCAGCAAGTTCTATGCCAGTGATGCCTAGAGACCAAATGTCACATCGGACATCATAGGAGTAATCAAGCTGCTGCTCACATGCGATTACCTAAATATAAATCAAAAAGATTTTGATCAACGGAGACGCAATCTGGATATTCCAACCACAATGAAGACAAAGCTGTATGGTACACAAGACGATATGGACTGCATGATAGCTTTCATAAAGGCTACCGGCCTCCTGATATAAGTTTTTTGACATAAGGATCAAAGGAGAAGAAGAAGAAAAAGAAGAAGGAGAAGAACAAGAAGAAGAACAACAACAACAACAAGAAAAGAAGAAGAAATGCCAACATAACCACAAACAAATAAATTACAAAAAGAGGCAAAGGATCATTTGTCACGCCTTCAAGCATATTGGACATGTAGAGCTAGACGTATATTTTATAGACAATCACCACTTGGTGGATGATGCGGTCAACATCACGCTGGCTGTATTTACTTCCTAGGACTGAACCTGGTACCCACTCAAGGCTGGGTCAACCTGGTAGCGAACTTCTTTTTTTTAAATAAGTCAGGTTCTGTTATGCCCCAAACCCACCACCTTACGATCAATAGGTTAGTGTCTAGCCCTACACCATGATGGCTCCCACCAGATACCATAACTATATTTTGATTATGTGATGGAACAAGTGCATAGATATGAACAAACAAGACACAAACAATAGATTTCACAATTTATTCTCTGGCATATTTTGCTGTATTTCATCAAGCGCATACTGCAGTAATAATTAAATATAATGAGGCAACAAAACTGAATCCTTCTAACCAAAATACAAAATCAGCTTTACTTAAAAGTAACCGACTGTTTTACCAGGGTAACGTAAGTTTATGGACATGCCTTTTTGTCTGTAAAATCAGCATAAAAGCAATTTATCATTGTGGCTTCAATGAAAAGTAACATTCAGCTAATGGTCGACATATACACAATTCGAAATGCGCTGTCCTTGTTTACAATATTACCACAGCTCAAAAAAGTAGTGCTCACTGGACAAGGAGTGATCATGTCTACCTGAATCATGTTTGCTGAATAACTGTTATTGTTTTTGTGAGATGCTTTTACCACCATTATGGCATGCATCTGACAGATACAGTGAAATATGCCAGACAATCAACCGGGCAACCTGTATTTAGTGCATTCTTTGTTCAAATTTACAACAGGAAAATATGGCTCTAATGCACACAAAAATGAAAAGGATGACAAAGTATTGGGTTCTCATCATGTGATAAAGAGGTGCATTCAGGAATAGTATGATTCTGTATGCAAATAGTGCAGCAAATTTGTATGCAGGAAACTGGTGTTCGATCACTGTTTTTTTGTAGAGAGCTGACTACAAGTCAGAGCTGAATGGAGGAGTAAATGTCCTCTTTTATCTTCTCAGGGAATCAGACAGCCCTAGAATAAGTTCACCTTGCTAACTAAAGTGTGTCCAAGTGTGTGTACCACCTGGCTCTCCCCCTTCATGTGAAGTCATCTTGTTCTCTGTAGCTGGTGTCGTTACTGTTGTTTTCTGGCTAGTAGTTGGGCGCATATGTCACAGGCACGCACGCACATAACTAGCCCAACCAAAATATACGCATGCACACACACACACACATACATACACACATATATATATATATGTGTGTGTGTATGTGCATGCATGCACAACAGACCTCTGGTAGTTCTCTACATGGCAGTCTCCTTCAATGCCAGACAATATGCTTTTCAGATTTAAAAAAACCTGTGCAATCTGATGTTTTTTTGTGCTTGTCTTGCTCGTACTATTTCTACACAACAGCTACAGAACTGTGGTTGTATTTTGTTGCAGCTGTGGATTTGTGAACTGAAAGAATGGCAACCATCTATAGCAGGAAGCCACAGCCTTGACTGTCTCTTCTCTAAGGTGATCATACTCCACCAGTCAATATACTGTCATCAATGCCTGTATTTTAATTACTGAGCTCATCAAAGCCAGCAATCATGGTACATTCTGTTTACTAAGGCATTTTATTCTATGAACATTTTATACTAAACTGGTTAATATAATGTCCTCACTAAAATGCCTGTATTTTAATTACTGAGCTTACCAAAGTATTTACCATTGGCTACCGTGGCCTAATTGCTTTGTTAAGGCCATTATACTACACCAATCAATAGACTGTCATTGCTGCAATACATGGATTTTTTTAAATTATATAGCTGACCAGGGCATCAGTCATCTACAGCTGAAGCTATGGTTTGAGGTGTCTGTAAGAGCCACTGAGGTGTCGTTTCTTCAATAGCCATGTTTCCGGTTATTATGTCTACATGCTGGTGAACCAGTCATGGCCTCAGTGATCAGCTGTATTTTCTTTAAAGAAACTACAGGCATTATTTTGGGGGGGAGGGGACACTCACCCACACACATACAGAGAGAGTGTGAGAGAAAGAGAGAGAGAGAGAAAGAGAGAGAGAAAGATAGAGAGAAAATGATATTTTCTACCTTTGATGGTATTATGGGTGTTTTTTCGGTGATGAGCCAAACTCATTGTCCATCCATTAGTACTTTCTTTTAGAGAAGTTAACTGTTACAGTTAAGACATTAGGGAGAACTGAGTCTATCTTCTTGCGATATCCCTTTACTGGTATTTTTAAATTTTTTTGAAGCTCTGGATGATATAGCTTCTAACCCTTAGTAGATATTAAAATTACTCAACATTTTGAGATGTTTATTTTCATTTCTATTAGGTTCAGTCACAAAAATAAGAGGCAAGGGAACTTGCTGAAGTGATGTACCAGAGTCATTATAGTGTCAGTTGAAGACAGGTTTCTGTCAACTCTGGAAACAACAAGTGCACTGCTTTTATTCTCCCAGGTGTGGTGTCAGTTGGTTACCTGAAATAGGCCAACTCCTAGCAGGTCAGCACCATGAGCACCAATCAGGTATCCTCTGAGTGATGAGAGCCTCAATCTTAAAATGAGAGGCCAATTTCACTAACTGACACAGAGAAAAAAGTTTTTGGAGTCTAGAGGAATGACACCAAGTTTTATTCCACACACCTCAGTCTCCCTCTGAAGAATGGCTAGCCACGGGATGATTCCCAGTTATCTCCAGAAAAACTGCATCCATGAACCAAGCGACACAGTGAGTGAAATGATCCCACAATCTTCAGAACATGAAGCAAACTGCTTGACCACTTCAACTACTATAAAGGATATATAAAATATGCAAAGCTCCTAAACCACAGGGACAAAGATAGAAGTTCTGCATACCTCTGGTGCCATCCAATAAGGAGTCCCCACATGTGTCTTCCTTCGGCCAGTGGGTGAATCCAAGTGCCCTGATACACCTGCCAAATACAACATATCATATCTGAGTGCCAATACATGGCATTAGGGAACAAGACAAGATCAAAAACACTGAGTTATTGAGCACAGCAGCTATCATAACAGTTTTTGTAATCCTCAGCCTTTGAAGGCTCAGATGGATGATGGAAGAATTGATAACGATATCTCCAGTGGTAAATTTAGAGATGGGGAGAAGATGTGGAGGTTGGCATTTATTACGAATTGAAGATGTGTGCATGCAAATGATAGAGACACTAAAGTGGATTCAAGGGAACAGGATGTAATGGAATGTGTTGCATGGAGGAGGGGAAAAGAGGGGGAAATGGTGTGCTGAAAGGGGAAATGTGTTGAAAGTTTTAGTGTGTACAGCTTTTTCCTTTTTTTCTTTGTTGTCTTCTTGTCTTAACTCATTAAGAAAACTAGATAACCACATCAAAGAATGACAATCCATGTTCTTTGAACACTTTAGGGGAAGGAAAATAAAACTGGAGTATGTCGTGACTACAGGAAACCTGATAGGGGCCAAAAAGAGATGGAGATGCCAAGAAAGAATGTTGAATAAGAATTAAGAATCAACATCACAGCACTGAGGACACTCCCATAAGCACTCCGTCCCCAACATTAACAGCAAGCAAAGAGTTCCAATTCCAAAAGCAGCAGTACTGTCTGATTGTATATCCATCTGCCTTTGCCCGGAGTGTTGAGCGTCAGCCAGATCCCCTGGTAACTCCTTGCAGCGCCATTCTCTTCAGACCCTAATGATCTATTTGTGTCTCAGCACTGTTCACTCGCTCCCAAAGGGCCCTAACAATTTCTAGCTTGTCATACATCAATTCATGGACAAGTGGTGCAGAACCAGCCAGTCCATCTGCCTGCTTATTTCCCAACACACCAGCATCACCTGGAGAAAATATGCTAACATACCAACACAGAAGACATTAGACAGTCTGACGTGATAGCCGTGAGGGACATCAGTGTCAAAAATGACTGACAGTAAATGTGATAGCTGTAGAGGACAGATGCAAGGATGAATGCTAAAATGCATGGACTTTAGGAACAAGTCAATCTTCTAACATCTAATTCTATTAATTTCTGTACACATCATCTTCACTGCACATCAGACATGTTAATTTTCTCTGATCTCCTCTATAATAAACACATAGATGATATACAGTTACTTTCATTTATCATCTTCCGTGATGAAAATTTGCTATGTGTGGATTCTGGCAAGAGGCCTAACCAGAATGGTGCACTTGAGATCTTCATTGATCCATACAGTATGTTTTGAAGGGTCACTAGTTTGGGCCACATTACCTCTCTCTCTCCCCTTTTTACCTCTCTTTCTCACAAACTTTTGGCTTTCTTGTAAGATACACTCTGGGGTTTACTTTGGTGCTCTACATTTACAAGTGTGAGAATCAGGGCTCGACAATAGCATGCCAACGGTTGTTGTTTTTTGTTCACATCTCCCTCAGGGCACATTTTATATAAATGACCTAGGCTTTCTGGCGGACTTAACCTAACATGTGTTATTTTTCTTTCTTTCCACTATGAATCACAGTAACATGCACATAAAACCTCTCACTGATTCGGGGCACTGTTTATTCATTAAAAACAAACAAAAAAATTCATTTAAAAAAACATGAATTTATTTTGGCTGCCTAACCATAATGCCCTGCTACCAACTACTACAGATGTCAGTAATGAAGAAGCACGAAGAAGACAACTTAAAAGATGGCGTGCAGACATTAAATTAGAAAAAAAAAATTTTTAATTACATAAATGAAAACTAGCTTACGAAAATTTGAGACACAAAAGATCATTACAAATCATCCCAAACACTTCAAAATGGTAAATGAAGGAAAAGGAGGACAAGATCAGTAGAACCATAAGCAGCCTAAGAAGAAGAAGAAGAAGAAGAAGAAGAAAAGATGAGGAAGCAACTTTGACCACATTCAATACCAACCAAAGTCAATCATCTTGATTTCTCCACTACTTGTTATGAGAATGTTGTGACCTTTGACATCTCGATGGATAACCTCATGTGAGTGTAAATGATCTAGTACCTGTTTCAGATATAATGGAAAAGAGTCAGTGACATTCAACCCCACCGGGACCACACAATAAGCGACCAACACTCAGCTACATAAAGTGCCACCCCTCGGATGAGGATCCCCTGGGCACAAGTCTCCGAAACCCTGTTCAACCATTAGGTTATATTAGGGCCCCCGACTATAGGGATGGAGAGGGATTTAAAATAACAAAACAATTGCATCCTATATTGGGACGGATCAGAAAATATGTATCACAATTGATGGAAAAAATATTTCTTTCAAAACTACAGATAAAAGGGGTTTTCTATTAGTATTTCTTCTTCTACACTGGGTGTACAAGAACCTTGCTAAGACTTTACTCATTTACAATTGGTGCAGTTAGGATGACCTGTTGACAAACTTAATGAATGCTTTCTGCATGATTCCCCTTCTTATATGTACAACATCATCACTTTCTGTATTTTCTCCCATCCTGTATGTACTAAGTCATCACTTTCATGATGATCTCCTTTTATACAGCAAATATCTCTTTCTGTACGATCTCCCCTTCTAACGATACTAAGTCATTCCTTCCTGTATTTTTCCTCAATCCATGTATAGTAAATCATCACTTTCTCTATAATCTCCCTTCCTATTGTACTAAGTCATTATTTTCAAGATATCTCCTTACCCATAGGTAAAAAGACAATTCTTCTACTAAGTCAACTCTTCCTCTGTTATGGCCCTATCCATTACAATAACATCGCAATCTGCATGCTCTCCCTTCCTATACATTTGAAATCATTTCTTTCTATATAACTACCCTAACCATGTGTACAACATTGTTCCTTTTTGTATGATTTTTTATTTTGCACCTCAAACAGGTTTGCTGTTTCACCAGCCACTCTGACAGCTGCTTATTGTTAATGAAATAATTTCAATGGAGTGGAAGGAATATGCCTGAAATTCAGTAGCTTCCATGACAGTCTCTGGTGTTGAACACAGATAACGGCCTCATTTGATTTATGTTTTAAATATGAAGAGTTAAACTGTATTCTCTGCACTTTCCAAAGATATAGTGCCATGTTCCTCTGCCCTGTTTGAAACCTGCCGGCGCACTTACTAAGAGAAATCTCATGTCAGGCTAGTCAAAGGGAGGAAACTAGATTCAAAGTGCCACAACCCTCTTCACTTTATCAATCATAACACTCGCTAGACCACATGAAATTTGATTAATGTTTTCAGCACAAGGAAACTCACCGTATGTTAACAGATTATTCTATGCATGGCATGCGCTTATGTGAAAGACAAAGTGCAACCTGAAAACTTAATTTTATGGCAGATCAGACCAGACCCATAATCTTAGCTGGTGGCTGGTTTAGGAGGAAAGCTCAAACAAGTGGTCAAACAGAGCACTGCTCTTCTGATCTGGCAGTTTCTGCAGCATGCTTTGTTCAAAATGAAACTGGTTTTACCTTTCCTTCAGAATAAACAAGGCAGATATAGAGAGAAATAATGATGCATGGGTATTGTCTCTACAATACTTCCCAGGCTCTATGGTAGGGCTTTTCTTAATGCAACTGGGTCTTGCTAGTCACACTCACTATTATCATGAGTAGAGCCTCCAAAGAGCACAATACAACACTGTCAGCTGGAACGACAGAAATGTACTAACAACAAGCAACAACATGGTGTCTGTTTCTCAACTTAATTGTTTTCCTCGTTTATGCCCTGTGATACTCATAATCATTCTGTCCACAATCTTTGTCTCATTTAGTGTCAATCATTTCTGAAATAGATGCCTTCTCCAAACCATGACCCCAAACTGTCCAGCACCTCATCTTTCAGTCACCGTATAGTCATAATCATATTTGAGGTGTTAACTTCACTGCAAATGGGTCACAGCATTACTGGTCCACTCCTGTGCCAGTTAAAAACCACACAAAATTATCCTCACTGCCCTATGTGAAAATTAATCGGTCACCCTATGCCCCTCTTCCCTCTTACTTTCTTGCAGTCATCATATACTCCAGCTATCTCCTTCTAGTGCCAGGAAGCCAAACAGTCCAGAATTTTCTCTCTTAGTCTCTATGGCAGGCATTTTAGAACAAGTATCATGGCTTTCAGACGGTTTTATATATATAATAAACAAACAGACAATGGATTGATCAGGACTCATAGAAAGAAGTAGAAAGATAGAAGGACATACTGGACAAGATAAAAATCAAAAGCTATAGTGTCTAGTGTGTTCTTCTATCTTTCTAATTCTTTTTATGAGTGCTAATCAATACAGTCTGTTTATTATACATATAATACTTCTAGGGCCTCCCCTATGGGTTTCCCCTATGTTTCTTTCAGACAGTGGTGTGAGATCGTAAAAGCAACTGGGACCCTCATCATGTACAATTCCCAAAGGCTGAAGTGATACACACAACCACTGCAGCCAGCCTCCACAGTAGATACAAAATAGATTTATTCTTTTTTAATTACCAACAGCCTGCTTCTGGAAAAAGGTACAGAATCTCCTACCTTTAAGGTTTCCTTCAGTATGTAAGCTATCAGCTCCTCATCCAAGAAGGAAGATTTATTTATCAAGTGGCGCACCAGCTCAGTGACTGATCCTGCTCCACACAGCTTAAACAACATCAACAGAAACAGTCAGAAATGGTGTCACTATTTAACAATTAGTATATGAGCCATGTGTACAGGTGAAGGGTTACTAGACAGCAGAATATATACTCCAACACTGCACCTGAATATAACACTCTGAGGTAGTTCCCCCCCCCCCCCTAACCCTCCACATACACACACGCACACACAGCAGAAAGTAAACTTTATGCACCACTGAATTAACTAAAAAAAAGACTGAAATTTATAAAAGAGTCAAAACTGCAGATAGAGACAAATTTTTTCAAAAAAGAAAAAAAAAGAAGAAATAATAGTGCAATGTTACAAAATATTTATGCACTACACACACACATAACTTTAAACATATGTAATAAATGCAATTATCTTCTTCTTCTGGTTCATACCATATGGCATGGGTCATAAAGTACACACGCAGCACTCTGGTTCATCATGGTGCCAATCATTTCTGATGCAGAAATGTCTCAACCTCCCTCTGGTATGTGTCATTATGTAAGTTCCCAGCCTCCTGTTTAAGACTGTCACTCATTTCTGATGCAATTGGTCAGCTTATATTAACACTTCTTCTTATAGTCCATGTCGTGTGATTTAATAGTCATGTTTATCCACAACATTCTGTCTTGTGTACTTTCTATCATTTCTGACACAGATGATCTTCCACATCATGATGTCAAACTGTTAACACTATCTTTTATAACTTCTATAGAAATGCACCGGAACATTTAACAGTAAAATATTCCTCACAATGAACCGTACAATACATAGTGTCTGCATTGTTTTTAAACAAAACCATAAAAACTAATCAAATACAGAGGTTCTGAAAAGACTAGAAATTACAGACAGCAGACTGAAAAAAATTAATGAGGACAAGATGAATATTCACATTAACATACATAATATGCTTACAAGTAATAAAATCAAACAGATGTGCAAGAGTTTGCAAGCATTACAAGTGGGAGGATAAAATAAGAGCTAGATGAACCAGCAGTGATTTATTTAGTGCTTATAGAAAACAGTGGTAACGGAGCCAGAAGTAGACCATGCAGAAAATAAATGGCACAAATTTTGGAGACCGTGAAAAGTACAATTTACAAAGTGAACAGAAGGGCCCATTTTAGAGATCTTTTCCTGCCCTGACACTGTGACGCATTCCTAAAGCAGAAGGAAAAAAAGAAGGTGATATGTGACAGTGTCAGCTTGGACCAGAGACAGAGAGTATTTAAGATCCAATATAGAAAAACTGAACATAAGCTCGGATGAGAATGTTGAATTAAAAATCAACATCACAGCACTCTGGACACTCCCATACGTGCTCCATCCCCCATCTTCAGCAGCAAGCAAAAAGTTCCAATTCCAGTGGTACCAGTAAGTGTCTGGTTGTACATCCATCTCACACTTCCCTTGAGTGTTGAGCATCGGCCAGATCCCCTGGTAACTCTCCGCAATGCCATTCTCCTCAGACAGTAATGATCTATTTGTATCTCCACACTGTTCACTTGCGCTCAAAGGGACCTCACAACAACTAGCTTTTTATACACCAATTCACCACCAAGTGGTGCAGAACTGGCCAGTCTATCTGCCTGCTCGTTTCCTAACCAGCACAACCTGAGAGAAAATATTCAAAGGATGCTAACGACCCAGGATCTCTGAAGCGATGTTTGCAGGAAGCAGGCCTGTCTTCACTTTTCTCCACATACTCTGTGAGTCACTTACAATTACAATATGTTGTCCCACCCTGTTAACAAACAAAAAAAAAATACTGCTACAGAAACTCACAGCATACACAGAAACGAATGGATCTCGAGGAATAAATTGTGAGCTCTGTGTGGCACAACATGATGATAATTACAGAAAACCATTGCAAAGATGGCACATGAATAAATGATTGATAATATAGACATCATACCTCCATAACAATCCACACTTGCTCCTCTCCTACTCTCTCGTCTTTCTTCAGAAAGATACCATAAAATTTGGGCATGTTAGGGTGATCTCCGAGGTCTCTGAGGACACGGTACTCTTCCTCAATTTCCTCTATCACCTCCGTCACTGACTCCATAACTTTTATGGCAACTGTTTCTCCTGTTTTAAACACACACAAGAACAGAAAAACTTAATCAGAACCTCTGGTATCCCTTCAGTGTAGTGGAAGTACTATCGCTCAGTAAAGTGGAAGTCTGGGTTTGAAACTTATAAGTGACTTCTTCCCGACCATGGCCCATGGTAAACCATAAATGTTTGTGGCTGAATAAGCAGGGGTGTGGCAATTAGTAATTGTTTCACAATAAGGCAAGATTATAATGTACCTTTAAAAATCTAATGAGAAAGGTAAGGATAATAAGTAATTGGATGCAAAGTGAATGAAAGAATTAATCAAGGAATTAGTGAATAAACAAATAAAGGCACATATAAATAAACAGATCCATGAACAGATCAAGGAATGAATGTCGACAAAACGAAATGAATTAATGAATGATTGAATTCATTCTGCAAAGGGACGAGAATCAGTGAATGCAAAAATGAAAGAGTGCATCATGTAAAAAAAAAAGAATGAAGTTATGATTAAGGAAAGTTTTAGAGGAGAAATAAATAGGTAAATATATAAATAAATTATTATTTAATGAATTAGAGAAAAACAAATAGAATATTCAATTAATTATGTCACCAAAAAACATGAATTAATGGCTGAAGGAATTTTTTTATGGGATAAATAAATCTAAGACAGTATGATAGGATCTAAAACTGCCAATTAGGAAAAAAAACAATCACTAAAGTATTTATACTATTGCTAGCCTTTAAAGGAGAAATCTAAGGAGCTATTCGTATGTTATGATGTTTTTGCATAAACAGTTTAAAATGACAGATGAGCCAACCTGTAAGTTTGTTGGTACCCAGGTGAACCAAGCCATAGGTTCCTTCCCCAATGGTCTCTCCCAGTTCCCATATGTCTGTTGGGTCCCGGAGGTCAGCAAATCTGATGACCCCACTGTGATAATCCTGGAACCGATACATTTCTGCAGCTCTCTAGAAAATAAGGCAGCAGTCACAAAAGGCCAGAAATGGCCAAGTTATTTCTGAAATAGAAAACAAAAAAACTGAAGTTATGTCAGTGGAAAAACTCATACTTTCTGTGAGGAGATTTCCCATGTCTACAATTAGCATACTGCTGGCACGTTACTGCTTTTCTAGATGATAGTATTATAATGTGATGGCGGGAAAGGGGGGGGGGGGAGGAGAAAGGAAATCACTGGAATAAAGTTCTACCTCTCCACTGTACAAAGCCTTTGCCAGAACTGTAGAATGTAATTATATACAATTCACAAAGCGGGGGATGCAACCATATACAATTCACAAAGAAAGGAATGCAGTCACAGACAATTCACAGTTCATAAAGACATCACATAAAATATTTAAAGAAGAGAATGCAAAAATTTACAATACACAAAAAAGAATGAAAGCACAAACAATTTACAGTCTAAATTTAGTCTCAGTTGGGACTCTTATATTTTCCACAAATACTTTATCTATGTGAGGAACCAATCGCAACAATTTGGCATTGATCCTCAAGCATAACTGTAAATGCTTTGTCTGTTGCTTTTTTTAAAGAGATAACCAGAAAAACAAAAGTCATACCATTCCACCTGAGAAACACTCATAGCATTCTACGAACCAAAGAAGTGATACCCCTCTTTTTTCTTTTCACGCATTTAGACGCATCGGGCATATGGAAAAAGCACCCATATTTTTTTAGACCAATCAGCACTAGGTGGGTAATGTGGTCAGCATCACGCCGCCATCTTTACTTCCCCAGGACATACATCCTGGTACCCATTTAAGGCCCGGTCGACCTGCGACACCCCATACCATGATAAAAATCCACGCAGCCAGCAGTGGGTTTCGATAGTGGCACACTGGAATTACAAGTCGGACTCGCATCGCCTAAGCCACTGATGCCGCAAAGTGATACGATTCTACCCAAAAAAAACAAAGTCATAACATTCTACCAGCCAAACCATACCATATCATTCTAACAGAAGGGCAAAAGCTATACAATTGTACCACAAAAACTAAGTCATACAATTTGATCAGAAAAACAAAAGTCATACCACTCCCCATGTCAAACAAGGCATACAATTCTACCAGAAAGACAAAAGTCAAACCATTCTATGAGAAAATCAAAACAGTAATACCATTTAACTAAAAAAACGTTCAACAGAAGCACAGAAGCAAAGATCCAATACAATAAAGCATGTGCCAGAGTAAAGCTTGTAGTTAATAAGGCTAAATGGACAGAAACTTGCTCCAACTTAGACCTTAGACAGAATGGAAATAAAGCATGGACTTTAGTTAAAAACCTCTCCGGAGAAAGTAGAAGGGTGAACCCAAAACCAGTGACAGATGGGAGTAAGACAATCACTGAAGACAAGAAGAAAGCAGAACATTTCAATCATTATTTTGCCTCGGTTAACAGAGCAGGTAAGCTGTCAGAACTCGATAGAACACAGCTCTCTCAGTTGAAGAAACAAGAGAGAGCTCCAACAGCCAGCGACTCCCTTTTTGAAAATGAATTTAGCATGGATGAATTAGAGCAAGCCCTGAAGAAATTAAAACCTAGAAAATCTCCAGGCCCAGATAAGATCCACAACGAAATGCTGCTACATCTTGGCCGGTCTGGGAGAGAAGTAGTTCTCAGGCTTATTAATAAAACTTGGAGGTCAAGCAAACTTCCAAGGGCATGGAGGAATGCATATATCGTCCCCATCCTTAAAACCAAAAAGCCTCCAGATGACCCCAAAAGCTACCGCCCGATATCCTTAACATCATGCTTGGGCAAAGTTGCAGAAAGAATGATAAACAGGCGCTTATATTGGTTCCTTGAGAGTTCTGGTGTTCTATGCCATGAACAGGCAGGCTTCAGAACCAACAGCTGCACAGAAGACCAGCTGTTCAGACTGACACAAAGAATACATGATGGCTTCCAGAATAAGAAACACACAGTGGCAGTCTTTGTCGACCTCCAGCAGGCCTATGACAGAGTATGGAGAAAAGGTCTCCTGATGAAGATGATGAGCATAGGAATACATGGCAGATTGTATAACTGGGTGAAATACTTCCTGATAGATAGAACAATCCAGACTAAGATGCACAACGCAATCTCTTCTAAAGAAGTCTTGGAGGAGGGCTTGCCACAAGGCTCATCATTGAGCTGTACACTATTCCTAATCTTTATCAATGACCTGCCAGAACAAATCAAGGCCGAAAAAGCCTTGTACGCTGATGACCTAGCAATATGGCAGAGTCATGAAAATGTGGAAAGTGGAGCCCAAAGACTGAATGGAGACCTTAGAAGACTGCATGATTACTGCCAAAGATGGAAACTCAAGATTAACTGTGCAAAGACGGTCTACACAATCTTTACCAAAAGCCACCAAGTAGCAAGGAAGAATATTAACCTGAGGTTAGACAAACACCAAGTGATGAAAGAAGAGCATCCCACATACCTTGGAGTCACACTTGACCCGCAGCTCAGCCTCAAGAACCATATTGAAAACATCAGGAATAAGGCATTGAGGCGGTTACAGTTATTAAAGAGACTTGCAGGTACATCATGGGGATCAGACAAGGAAACTCTGAGGGGCTTATACCTAGGATATGTTCGCTCTGTGATAGAGTACAACAACTCACTGCTTACAACTTGTTCCAAAACTAACCTAGAGACTCTTGACAGAGTACAAAATAATGCCCTCCGATTAATCTGCGGAGCTATGCAGTCTACACCAACTGCTGCATGTGAAATCCATACAAATGTGGAACCCCTCGGGTTGCGGAGAGAAAAAGCCACTTTAGAAATTTATGAAAGATGCGTTAGGAAAAATCGTAACCATCCTAATAGACATCTTGTAGAAAACTGGGAATCCAAACAAAGAATAAAGCACAAATCGGTTTTACACTGTGTTAATGAAATTCAGGACAGATACCACCTCCCAGAAAGACGTCAAGGAATTCAGAATGTTGCAAAAAACCTACCACCACATGCTCGCTTTAAAGCTCCAGAAGTCCAAACTAAATTGGTAGGCGAGGAAACCAAACAGTCCGACCCAATCGCTCTTATGAACTCATCACTAAAGACCGTTGATTCTTACCCCCAAGAATGGATACATGTCTATACTGATGGATCAGCATTTAAAGCTACCATTAAAGCAGGTTACGGAATCTACATAGGTTATCCCGATGGATCTGTTGAAGAGATTTTTGATGCATGCGGGGAATTCTGTTCAAACTATGAAGCTGAAATAATTGCACTGGAAACAGCAGTATACCACCTAAAGACTATAATGGATGTTTACCCCTCAAAGGTCCAAAATATTGTCATCTTCACAGATTCAATGTCTGCCCTTCAAGCTCTGGAGGGCAATGAACGCTGCAGAACTGACATAGCCAAGATAATCCTGGATGCCGATCAGCTTATTACCTCATACAACATCAGAATAGTGATGCAGTGGATTCCAGGTCACTCCGGCACACCAGGTAATGACAGAGCTGACAGATTGGCAAAGAAAGGAGCAACACAAGAACAACCACCTACAGAGACAACCCTCCAGACAGCAAAAACACTGATAAGAGCTATAAACAAAGAGACTTGGTTGAACAGATGGGCCATGGGAGACACTGGAAGAGAGGTTTATAGACATATGTCTGGCCCTGATCCTAATGACAGCATTAACCATCTAACAAGAAGGGACCAGGCCACCATCTTCAGACTTAGAACGCAACATACTCCACTCAATGGACACCTAAACAGAATACAGCCACAACACTCCCCAGAGTGCCAGCTATGTAACTACCCCTACGAAACTGTTGAACACCATCTCTTTGAGTGCCCAAAACTCAGTGAGACAAGAAGAACGCTACTCCCTCCGAGACCAGACAAGTGGAACACCTTGTACGGAGGAAAAGAACAGCTTGTGAAAACATGCAAATTCCACTACATGGCATTGGGCCAAAGGGCGAAAGCTCATGCGCCGCTGGATCGATAACAACAACAACAACAACTAAAAAAACAAATTCATTCAATTCTACCTGAAAAACAAGGCAATACAATTCTACTAGAAAAGACAGAAACAGCTATAGCATAGGATGCTCCTACACAATTACTACAAGTGTGTGCCACCATTCCCCCAAATCAATTTCACAAATGCTTCTTTTTTTTAAAATATAACCTACTTTCATGTTGCATCACTACTTTCAGACAGGAAGCACCTCTGGGATCTAAATCCACACATATATTTAAAAATAATAATGACAATAATTTGCCACCATGTGCTAGCAGTAAGATGTCAGTGTTGGTTCAAACCACACCCTTTAAAATCAATATTTCTGCAGTCAGAATATGCCCCACATAAATAAGCTATAGTTAGCACTGTTCAAAACTAGCTTCAAATCAATTCATACATCTGTCAATAGAAACTGTTTAATAATATATGTGTGCACATACATTTTCACAGATGTCAATATCAGAATATAAAAAAAATCACTGATAACACTTATTGTTCTAAACGGTCCAGAAACATGGAGTACAACTGGTAGATTCAAAGCCATTTAACAAACTTTTGAGAAAATAGGTCATATGCAAATTTTTGGGGGAATCATAAAAAATGCAAATAGTGGAGAATGGGGAGTGTAGAAGCAGCAACAGAATGCATAATCTGTTTAAATCGTCACTAATTACTGACATCAGAAGGGCTAACAGACTGAAATGATTTGCACATACAGAGAGAATGGCAAGTAAAAGAGGGACGAAAACTGCACATGCAAAAGAACTGAATGAGAGTAGACCCTGAGACAGACCAAGAAGACAGACAGTGAAGGCAGACCTAAAAGAAACACTTTCAGTCACCAAATGGAAAGAGAAGACCAATTACAGAGATGGATGCAGCAAGGAACCTTGAGGGCTTGGAATGCTGAAGAATAAGATAGCAATTATTCAGTTCTGGATGTTTGCTTATTTTGTG